TAGATTCAGGTCAGCTCTAGGAACACTAAGAAAAAAAAAAAAGAAAAGCATTTCTGCGCCTGTAATGCTGAAGATCGTTGGTATATACGTCCCACAAAGTCCTGCCTGAGTTGCCATTTGGCCACTGTTTTGATGTTTCTCTTGATGCCTTGTAACTCCAGAGATGGAATTATGGAAATGGATTAATGAATTTGGTGAAGAAGCTTAGTTCATCCTACATGGGTAGTTAGGGGAAAGGGACTATATGTCTCCTTTTCTGGGATGGAATGGTGATATGTCTGGTTGTTTGCCCACATGCTGTCTTGTAACTCTCATAGGGGATTTTTTGGCTGGAGAGGAGGTCGTCCAATGACATGGATGCTGGAGGGCCTTCATAGCCAAGTGCTCCCATGAGGGGCTGGGCTTAAACTTGGCCACTTTGTAGAATCTTTGTGGAGCCATGGGAAGGTCATCTGTTGTTTTTACCCTCCTATAATTAAAATTGAAGGGGGGAAATCATAGTTTTATAGAAGAGAGAAAATAGAATAAAAAATAGGTCTTTGTATTTGAAGTGACAATTTTCTGATCATTTGAAGAGAGACTTTTGCATGTTTTTCGTTCTGAGAGAGAAAACTACTGCAAATGGTTTTGGTGGGGAGGCAGTGAGAAAAGCAGATATCTCTCCAGGCTGAAAGGGATCAGCAGAAGAAACGTGGCAGCAACACTCTCTAACATGAGCAAGGCCACTGGGCTCAGCACCTTTCATACACTAGCTCTTCAGATGCTTAAAACAACACCATGTGCAGGTGTTGTTCTTATTTTACAGATAAGGACTTATTCTTTAAGTTCACACAATTTGTAAGTAGAAGAGCTGGGGTTTTAACTCAAGTTAATTCTCAAGTCCATGTCTGAGCAACTGTTGGGTGTTAAGCTGTGTCCATCTGTGCCCACCTCTCATTGAGATTATGGCTCTGCCTCTGCTATGAATGCTATGATCTGTACTCCAGCCCAACCAGGGTCCTTGTGAGACTAGAACAAGATTTCATTCTATGCAGAAGTGGGAGAAGGCCCAGCCTCCCCACTGTGTCATCTTGTGTGATTTGGGGGATCTAAGTGCTATTGCATGTGCTAAAACAGGGTGTTGGCTTCTGTCAGCCCCTCTTCTTTCCTTAGGGTTCAAGGTATGACTAGAGACAGACATCTTTCTGCCTTCTCCATTTTTCCATCTCTCCACCTGACCTTCATGATATAATAGAAACTGTGGGTTGGTCTATTGAAAATGCCAATTGAAATGGGGTATTATAAAAAAAAAGATACAAGTACATGTAAACATTTAAGACTTACAAATGTACATTCTTTTACCACTCTTTTGTTGTAAAATACCCTTTCTTTGAGTAGAGGACACAAATTGAAGTTCTGTTGTCTTTCTTATGTAATCACAACCCTCAATGCATATCTATGGGTTTTGTTTTATTTTTGAAAATCAGATATGTGAAATGTTTAAATTTTTTTTCTAATCTCTTAGCATCATCTTGCTCATATCTAAAAATTTTTTTCCAACTTACTCTTATGGAGTCTTTCCAAAGCAGTTAACCTAGTTTTCCTAGCAATAATAACTCCAAGTTTCACACTTATCAGCTCATACACTTTTAAATTAAATTACATAATTGGAGTAACAGATACAATTGCCACAAAAGTGTTTGGTAACAAACATAACTGCTGCTTGATGACTGTGGGAGCAGCTGTGCGCCCAAAAGCTATGAGTGTCCTGTGCCCTAAGTGACCTGCAGGAGGCCGATAGTCACTGTGCTTCACAGGAGTGGAGACCCCTGGGGAATCCAATGAATCCAGCTGGCTGCAGGCCGATTACTAGCATCTACTGTTTGAACTACATCCCTCTCATCATTTAGCCCTGAGAAAGGCCCCATGCAGATCCATTCATGAGAAGTGAAGTGACTGATTTAGGGCTTGGCCTGGTTAGACATGCTCAGACAGGCCAGCATCCTGAAAGTAGGCCAGACCGAAACATTCGCAATCTTCAAAAGAAACAAAAAAACAAAAAAACAAAAAAAAAACCCCAGAACTTGTTTATTGCCCTGTGGGTAAACAGAACTATCCTGCCTATTTTTACGTAACTTGGTTGATTTATATCCCTGAATCATAGGATCATAGAGAAAAGTAGCTTGTTTCCTTAGTAGTGAAAACTGCCTTTTTGGAGGCCTCCAAGTCAGAACTTAAAATTTAACTTTTGCTTTGGTGCCACCAAGTGGTTAGTTAGTTGTGAGAGACTACTCTCCAGGAGAAGAAGGCTTAAGAAACACATAATGATAACCAGAAGTCTGAGTTGATTAGGCAGAGCACAGAAGATTTCAGGACAGTGAAACTATTTTGTATGACATTACAGTGGTGGACACATGTCATTATTTGTTCAAACTTAGAGAATGTACACCACCAAGAGTGGACCCTAATGTAAACCATGGACTCAGTGGTAGCAATGTGTCAGTGTAGGTTCATCGACTGTAACTGTGCTGCTGCGGTGGGGATGTTGGCAGTGGGCAGGCCGTGCGTGTGTGGGAGTAGGGGGTGTATGGGAACTCTCTGTGCTTTCTGCTCAATTTTGCTGTGAACCTACAACTGCTTTAAAAATAAAGCTTATTAATTTAAGAAAACCTTCCATTCTACACACATGTTCCCTTTGAACTACTGGTGTTACAGGTTAAGGGCAAGGTAAGGTAGAGACATCCTCTAGGGAGGCTGACTGACTTCTCAAGCACAGATGACAATACCCGCATGAAGTTCTCACGTTCCAAAGTCCAGGTCCTTAGCTTTGTAAATCTCAGAAACCTTTTATTTTTTTCAGTGTTTCCAGAGCTGTTCAATTTTCCAGGGTTATATCATGCTCACCAAACTTACAAGAGACTTATTGCTAAGTCAGAATGCTGGTGTTTCACCTTTACCGTTAGAAATGTATGTGAAGTGGTGGACGAGCAGTTCATCTCCCACCTTGCAGGAAATTATTATGGGAGGGCCAATTATACTGAGTAGGTTTCTTAGTGAAATCGCAGTGGGGTGGTGCGTGTGTGTGTGGTAAGGAGAGTGGGGGCGCGTAAGGTTGTTTATCCCGAAGGTTGCTGCCATCAAGCTGACACTGTCTTGACCACTTTAGGTTTATACATGACTCCACTGAGAATATTCACCTTGCTGAGTGGTACAGAATCTTGGACAGTACAGACGGCAGACAGATCTTGTCTGTTTCTTTGGGCACGCTTTTGGAAAGTCTATGCTGAGCATCTTGCTTGTGTTGCTCCATTCTTTTCGGTCGAGGCATAGTGTCACTGGCAAGGCCAACACCGTAGACTTGCTGATGCAGCTCTGGTCTCCTGAGAATCTCTCTGGTCACCATGATTAGTATTAGCGTCATCAGCCACCATTTATAGGTTTTTGCTTGGGGGATCTGGTCTACTTATGATAATTCTAAATAAGTTCATTCTCAGAGGAAAACATGTTTTTTGTTTTTGGTGATTCTGTCCCTGAATGCAGGTTAAAATTACTATGTAAAATCCTAAATCACTTGGGAGTAGATTTCCCTCAGCCAAACAGTACTTGCTGAAGATGGGAATTATTCTAGTTTCAGAGTCAGTAAGAATATGTTCATGCCAGCCACTTGATGCCTGTGTCTTGAGACCTTATTATCTCTTTATTTACTAGTCTGTCCTGTGATTCCTTTTTGGAACTCAGTGCAGCATTTCTCCACCCCCTCCTCCGTCCTTGTCCCAAACTGCTGCCACATAGAGACCTCACTCAAGGAGACGTGGGGGATATTTGCAGAAGTTATAAACTGGTGGCCTGCGGTTGGAATCTGATCCACAGATCTCTTTTATTTTTGCCAAAATGTTTTTTTTAAAACTTTGACTCAATTGCCAAAATTTTAAATTCAGGAGATTCATAAAAAACTCTGAGTATCCAATTTCTTTGCAAACAAGTTGATCTGGCTGTGCAATGCCTACGTTCCCACAGGGCAATAAGTTATTGGAGTGTCCTAGTTAGGACACCCCTTCCAGTTATCCTCAGTCCCTACCCTACCCTATCACTCATTTACATTATTGCTTGGTATTGGGAGGGCAGTGACTCTAGGTGCATTGGAAAAACAAATATAAAACACAGAACAGGTGTAAGGAAAGCAGTGACTTCCTGTGGACTTTTGCTTCATGGTCTCTTGCTTGCCTCTTGAAAGCAATTCCTTTCTTGGAAACTATTTCCAGCTTCTTTTTCTTTAGAACCCTGCTTCTCTTAGTGTGTCACCTCTGAATTTATCCCTTATGCTTCCAAGAGGCGTGATATTACAGTGTCGTTGAGGAAAGCATGCAGATTTGAATCCCAGCTCTTCTCCTTAGTTCAGTTTCTTTTTCTGTAGAATGAGGCTATAGCTTGCCTCATAGATTGATATGGGTATTAAATGGGATTTTATATATGAAGCATCAAGCAGAAGGTAAGTACTCAAGTGTCTCCGTCCCTCTCTTTTGTCAAGACATGACTTCTTCTTCGTGGCCTTGATGAAGTCCAGCTGAATTTCTGCCTCTGCTGTCCTGCCACATACACCTCTTTACCCTTAAAATAAAGCTGACTGTTTTATTTTTTATTCCTTATAACTTCATTTTTCCCATCTATACAGTTTCAACTATCTCCCTCCTTCTCTCCCTCTTCTGCCCTCTCTCCCTTTCCCGCCCTCTCTTTCTCTCCCTCTCCCTCCTTTCCTTCCTTCCTTCCTTCCTTCCCTTCTCTCCCTCTCTCTCTCTCCTTTCCTTCCTTCCTTCCTTCCCCTCTCATAGAGACCTCCATGTGAGAATAATGAATGACAGGTGAATTTGTTTTAGGAAATTCTATAAGAAGGCATACTTTTTATCAAATTTGTATAATAATTGTACATAGTTTTGTGATGGAAACGACATTAACTTTTACAGCAGTCTGTTGGAACTCTTTCTGAATTTATATACCTTTCCCCATCCACTGTATATTTATAGAAATAGAGCCAAGGTCAAAAGCTGGAAATTCAAGAGGAAAAACTGGTACTGGAAGAGAGACACTTCGCCTGAGATCAAAAGGTCCTGCCACCGTGGAAGAAGTGGTATGTGATGTTCATTTAGTCCCTATTCTGCTTGGACATATATGGACATTTATGTTTATTAGCTAGAAATAAAGGTAAAATCAGGAGGTTAAATAAAATGCCATACATTCTAATTAAAGAGTGAGCTTTAATTCATTGCCTACTTAACATGAAAATTATGAAAGGATTTAGGAAAGAAATATAGAAACTAAGTGTATGAGAAGAGAATGTGATCTATAGCATTCCTCAGCTACCTGTAGACAACTTATTGTAGAGTCTGGAGACATCTGGATTGGATCAAAAATGTAGATCTCAACCAAAGCTCTGAAAGCCAAGAGGAAGTCTCAGAGCCACCAATAGGTGTAAACATACTTAAGATTTTGATAATGAAAGATAATACGCATGAACTCCAGTCTCCTCAGGTAAAGAATTTTTTAGTCACCATTGCCTCTTCCCTTTTGTGTCTCACATTCCGTCCACCAGCCAATTCTGGTGGATCTACCTCCACCACAGACCAGAATCCAACAACTTCTCACCACCTCTCCTCTCTGGCCCAAGGCACCAACATCTTATCTTGAACACTGCAATCACTTTCTAGTCAGTCCTTTTGCATTCACCTTGGCTCTTCTTTTCCACTACACTGAGCACAGCATCCAGAATTATCATTTCAAAATGCAAGTGAGATTATGTTGCTTTTCTGTTCAAAATCCTCCAGAAGCTTTCCAAGTCACTCAGAATAAATGCAGAAGTCCTCAGAGTGACCAGTGTGATCTGTGTGATCTGACCAGTGCTTTCTTCTCTGATCTCACTCTCTACCACTCTCCTCCTGGCTCCCTCTGCTTCAGCCACATGGGTCTCCTCACTGTTCCCAAACACTCCAGATGTATGTCACCTCAGGGTCTTTGTACTGTTGTTTCCTCTACATGAACACTTTGTCCATTTCTGGGCATGGCTCACCCTCTTGCCTTCTTCGGATTTCTGCCCACAGATCACTTTGTCTAAAAGGCTGCCATAAATACCAATTCCTGCCGCCCCTCCCTCTGCTCAGTCTTCCTTGCCCTTAATTTTCTTCAGAGCGCTAAATATAATAGGACTCATTATATCTTTGTTTCCTTTCTGTCTGTTGTCTATCTCCTTTGCTCACCTGTCTTGTTCACTGTGATATTCCCAGCACTTGACATATCAAACGAGTTCAAATGCTGAATTAATGAATTCATAAATGATTCACTTAAACTTGAGGAGAGTAAGGGTTTCACTGAATGACTAGGTCAATATTTGAGGGGAAAACACCAGAAGTAGGAGAGACAAATGAAGGGAAGAAGGGTAGAAGAAGAGGATAGTAGGGGTTAGGGGCTGCAGAGGTAAGGATTTGAAGTGGCAAGTGGCAAATCAGGCACGCTCACAGCTCACAACAGTGAAGACAGTGGTGATGAAGTCACCTTGTAGGCAGAGGGGAGATTAGGCAGGCGTCTGAGGCCAGGGAGCTTCTGCAGGCAGGGGCACAGGCACCAGGCCTGTCTAGTCCCCCAGTGTGTGCACATTGTCCTAGGAGTCCCCATATATTTGAAGAGCAAGAATGAGACAGGTGAACAGGTAGGAGGCTCTTTTCACAGAGCAGGATCCCAGAGTTTATGCTGTGACCCTGATCCAAGTCAGTCATGGGGTAGTTTGATGGAGCAGACACTCAAGGAACCATGAGGCCAAGGTTTGAGACTTCCAAGATGTCGTCAGTTTTAAGGAATCTAGAGTCTGGTGCCTTGGTCCTAGGTGAATGAAAGGATCGATTTCGAGACAAAGGGCAATGAAGAGACCTGGGAGAGTCGAAAGCATTTTGAAAGCGAGAGATGATGAGGGATGTAAAAAAATCCAGGGCAGTGACCTCTGGTCATTCTGAGTCTTTACTTTTCCTGTGACCAGCAGACTTCCAGGCATACCGCTGAAGGTCAGTAAATATTTATTGAATGAATGAACAAACCTCAGTGGAAGAAAGGAATGTGTAAGTGAACGGAAGAACAGTGGGAGGGAACCGGCAATGAGGAGCTAGGGGAAGGAAGCTGTGAGGATAAAAGGATAGACCTTAAAACTGCTTGCAAAGGAAGTAGGGTGGCAGGAAAACTCCATGGCACTTCAGGAGGAGGGTCATCTTCTAATAGTTAATATAGTTAATAAATGTTTTTTGAGCACCTGCTATGTATATAAGCTTCTGGAATGAAAAGAGTAGCTGAAGATCTATCTGTGGAGTAGGAAAAATTTAGGATAAACATCTAAAACTTCATTCCTATTCACATAGCCTCTTTCATTAAATAGGACAACTAAAATGAATCATAATGAAAGTAAAGGCTAGTTTGGTGCTAATATTAAATTTGATAAAAATGACTTGCAACCTCTTTTAAACACCAAAGGATTTATAGATTTGAAACAAATCATCCCCCCATAGACTAGCACAAATTCTGAAAACTGTGAAAGACACTCCACCTGCATACCTCATACTTCATTCAATGTGTGTTTGTTCGAACAGGCACAGTCCGGGTGCTGGTAATACAAAGATGACTGAAGACCTGTTTTTCCTCTAAAAGGAGAGAGGCATGAGAAGAAGCTATTACAAACCAGGGGGATAGGGTTAATGTCACAAAGGAGGGGCTGATCAGCTGCTGTCAGGGATGGGAAGAGGGGAAGTCATGGAGAGTTCCCTCCAGAAGAAGTGACTGAGTTGGTTAAAGATGGGGAGAAGAGTGTTTTCAGCATGGTACAGCGATGGGCTTGGCCACCTTATAAGCATCCAAGGGATTAGATTGTGACTGCTGGAGGTACCTGGTGGGGGAGGTGATGAGGCTGGAGATACAGGATGTGAAGGGCCTGTGGTTAATTTAAGAACTGTGAAGGAAGTAGCACCATCAGTTTTGTGTTTTAGAAAAATCCCTTGGTTCTGGGGGATGGCTTGTTGAGCAGGATGAATTTGAGGGGGTGAAGACTGTAGGCAGAGAGACAAATTAGGAAACCTCTGCAAATAACAAAAGATGAAAGAATATTATTCAGTCATAAAAAAATGGAAATTCTGCTATTTGTGAAAGCATGGATGAAACTTGACATTGTGCTAAGTGAAATAAGTCACACACAGAAGGACAAACACTGTATAATCTCACTTATATGTGGAATCTAAAGAAAAATCAAAACAAACCCAAACTCATAGATACATAGAGCAGATTGATGGTTGCTAGAGGTGGGGGTGGGGAAATGAGCAAAATGGGTACGGGTGGTCAAAAGGTACAAAAAAAGTTAATAATATATTGTATATTTGAAAATTGATAAGACTATAGATCTTAAAAGTTCTCATCACAGGAAAAAAAAATTGCAACTCTGTGTGGTGATGGATATTAACTAGATTTATTGCAGTGATGATTTTCTAATACATACATATATGAAATCATTATGTTGTATACCTGAAACAATTATAATGTTATATATAAACTATGTCTCAATGGAAAGAAAAGAAAAGATGAGGGCTGAACCCAAGCAATCAGAATGTGAAAGGAAGAGAGGTGATGAGATCAAGAGCGATTTAGAATAGTAAAATAGTGGTGGCCACTTTGTATAAGAAGGACTGATACTTGTTACAGTATCCTACAAAATGGCTAGATGGGCAAAAGTAAACACCTAGTTACTTTGCATAGCTTTTTGCTTTACACAGATTATTCAAAAGACACTATAAAGAAGGCATGAGTGAATATGTATTATGTCTGTTATTGTTTTTAAAGACTTACTTGAAATAAAAATATGAGACAGTTGTAACAATATCCGCAAGGAGATAAAAATAAATTTTGCAATAAAATGTATATTTTTAATAAGTTTTGAGAATACGGAGCAATATACATTTATGATAGTATTGAAAATATGAAAAACAAGTAAAAAAACAACAAAAGTGTTATGAATTTCTTACAATGTAATCATTTATGAATTTAACATTTGCATTTACAATTATTTAACATCTTTGGGCAATTTCTTTTTCAGTTATGAATCTATTTAAATCAAGTAATAAAACAAACTGAGCATTGAATAAGATTTTACCAAATATAAAATCACGATTTTAAAAGAATGAAAATATATATCCAAAGTTTTTTTACTAAAATTTTTTTTAAAAATTGAGCTATAATTAATATTTAACATTGTATTAGTTACAGGTGTACAACATAATGATCTGATATTTGTATATATTACAATTCACTGAAACTTTTTATTTTTAGATTTTTTCCTCAGGATTTTATTGTGAAAAATTTCAAACATACAGAAAAGTTGAAAAGCAGTGCAATGTACACCTACCTCTTAGACTCAGCAGTTGTTGGCATTTTTCTATATTACTTTTATCCATATATATTTTTGCTGAATCATTTGAAAGTATGTTATAGATATATCATGATTTTTACTTCTAAATACTTCAATGGTGTTTCTAAAAATAAAGATATCCTACGTATTGCAACCCATATATTACACTAAAGTAAATTAACAATAGTCCTCTAATATTATCCAATACTCTCAGTGGAACTTTTAATAACACTTTAGGGAAGAAAAAAATATTTTGTTACCATTAATATGTAAGACAAAAAATGTTTCATCATGATTTTATCCTTAGGAAAATTCTATTTTTGTGTATTTTATGTGTACAATTGATTAAAATGGTAATACATGTGAATAATTTATAAAACTACAAATAAAAACATTAAATAAAAATAACTAATAAGAATACGTGATCAGAAATGTTTTATTGTTAGGGTGACCCTTTAAAAGGTCTGGAAACCCTGGCTTGCACGACAAAGACCAAAGCCCTTTTCATAGCACCCAGGACTCTAAGATCTAGTCATGTCTGGCACTATGTTTCTCATTATATGGGACTTTTTTGTAGTTCCTATAACCTGCTATCATTTATCAGACTCTGCGACCTCATATAGACTTTGCGTATTTATTGCCTCTTACTTGCAGTGCCCTTTCCTGCTCATCTGACACCAGTTCATCTTTGAAAATACAATTCTTGTCACCTTCTTTCTGGAGTCTTCCCTAACTCACCGATTTAAATTTAAACCCCCATGATGCCTCTGTACTTTTAATATTTATTAAATATTGTTCTTGTTATTATCACATAGCTATTTTCACATCTGTATCCCCTTCTCGATTGTTAGCTACTCGGAAACTGTGTTCTGGCTTTTCTTTGAATGTGTAACACTTAACACTGACATTAAAAATAAATATTTACTGTATAGATTTTTACTGAGTTACAGAGCACATTCTACAGATATATTTCTGTTCGAATTAGCTAAAGTTTACAACCATGGATTGGCTCCACATCAGACTTTCCCCTCTGTGTGCTTTGACATTCAAGAGACTGCATGTAAAAGTATAATATCTATTTCTCTTTTCTTTGATAAAGCCCTCTGAAACCAAAGCCAAAGCAATTGAAAAGGTCGATGATCTTCTTGAGTTGTACATGGGAATTCGAGATATTGATTTAGGTAAGATTATACTATTTTATAAAGTCTTATATTTTTTAATTTGATGGAACTTAATGCTAATTTATGTCTTTCTGGCATTTATAGTCAATGATACTTTTCAAGATAAAAAAAGTATTTGTATAGTGATGAAAAAAATAATGAAAATAAAGATAATAAAGAATAATGAGAAGAAGACCAGACCCTTACCACTTACTAACTGTGAAAACTTAGAGTCAAGTCAACTTTTTTGAACTTTAATCTATAAACTATAATATTTTCTTCATAGGCTTGTTTTATGGATTTAAAAAATATGAAAAGAATTTTGTAAATGATACATATAAAAGGTATTATTTAATATATTAGGTGTACATTGATTAAATTGTATGTTATAATATTAAAGTTACGCACATTTAATATGGTTAATGAAGTGCTGTGAAAGTAAATCAGAAATATGAAGATAAAAGACACATCTGATGTATGACTAATAAGGGCAGCTGAGCAGTGAATTTCTGTGTATTTCTTGTGTCACCATTAGGATGTCAGCGTCTTGATTTATCAATTAAGACTATCAGTTACAAATAACAAAACAACAAACGAAACAAACCAAACTCCAATTTACTTAAGAAAAAAAGGGGGAAATGTATTGGTTCTTATAACTAAAAATCCAGAGGTAGATCCTGATTTCAAGAATGGCTAGATCTGGAGTTCTCATGCTGTCGTCAGGAGGAAATTTCTCTTCTGTGCATTCTGGTTTTATTTCAGGCCTCTATGGTAACTCTCGGTAGCTTCAGGCCTTCCCACATGGAGTCAAAATGACTGCCAAGGCTTCACCCTCTACAACTTGGTGTCAAACACATAGGTCTGGGTCATATGTCTGTAGTTGATAGTAATTCATGAAGAAGAAAAATATTCTCTTAAGAAAGGCAGGCAGCTGCTGGATGGGAAAAGAGTAAATGTGCATTTACTAGTGGGAATTCCTACCTGTATGCATCCTACCTGTATGTGTGTGCATAGGTGTGTGTTGTATCAAGTACTTAATAAATTTCTTAAAGTCAAAGACTTGGACAACTTTGTTTACCTGTTACCAGGCAAAGTATTTTTACTCACCCTCAGGTAGAATATTTGAAGCTCATTCGTCCTTTTCTATTTTCACTCATCTTCCTTTTTCCTTAGAGAATTTATTCTTATTTTTTCTTGCCTGTCTGAACTTTTAAAATACAATTTCTATGTTGGATGTACAAATGATATCTGTAATTGAAAACAAAGCGGTACTTGTTTCTAGCTCCTTGAAGATAAATATGATATTTGCATGTAATAGCTCCACACAGATAAGAAGTTAAAGCTGAGATGATCCTATAGAAAGCCAGTGTCTTAAAACTTTTCTCCCAAGCCTTTTGCATTTGGAAAAATACAGAGATTTGCATAAATGATGTGAGCCTGCAACAGTTATACAAATGTATATACAAAGAAGGGTGAAGGGGTTTTAGAATTGGCAGTGCTCTTAAACTCAGATTAGGTAGTATGTGTCGGAAAAATTATATGGATACAGTTGAATAACTATGTTAATATGAGATTCAGGAAGTAGCACATAAATTGCTGGATCTTGATAAGCTCAAATTTAGGAGAACCACACTTTCCAAAGATGAAAACTCAACTTCAAAACTGAATTTTAGGTATAGGCCTTATCGTTATTTAAGTATAAATTGGGAATAGTTAAGTAAATTAGTTTTACTCTTGTTATTAAAAATACACACGTATACAGGGAAGAGCATTGGACAATGGTATAAGTAATTATAAATGAATTAAGAAACAGTTCTTTAAGAATCAATTTTCTTTCACTCTGACAAATTTAGAACACTAAACATTCCTGGAAAATTCCTTGTAAATTAACTAGTAATCCCTTTGTAATTAATTATCTGTAGCAAATTCCTCCAAAGACTTGAAAAGTCATTATGATTATACGTGATTAGCAATATGATCAGTCACCCAGGGAGGTAAAGTTTAAAGAAAGTAATTATTTGAAGAATGCAACCGTTGTTAAATAAGGAATTTCTGTCATTCAGATCCGATTAGCATGAATTATAAATCACAAATGTGACACTGATTCAAAAGACAAATGAATATATTTATTTGTTTGTATTCTTGTGTTTCTTAGCTTTCAGAAATGTTAATTCTTAATGAAAATTACAATGACATGTTATTCTGGAGTTGTTAATATAAGTTTGTATTCAAAAATTTTTTAAGTGATATGATAATAAAATGACTAAAACCAAAACAGTAACCTCAAAAAAAGCATCGGGATTCATTTTACCATTTGAAAATGTAAAATAATTCAAATGAGTTTAGATAGCAATAACCCTGAAGATGAAAGTGCTCTGTTTGGTTGTAAAGTTAAGTTGCAAACTGTGACTTTTCAAATGACCCAATACCAATGAGTTGCCTTGGAATGTTATCCACCAGGAAAAAAATAGGTTCTAGAAGATTTTGAGTTAAGATCTATATGGGCTTGACTTAATGAAAACTTATATTATTTTAAGTTTCTAAAGAATTTTAAGAAGTATGTGAACTGTATATAGAACTACAATATTTTCTGATACCAATTTAGGAGTTTGGCAATCATTATAACAGCATCAAAATTTTAGGATTTCTAATTTATTAAGAGATCCAAAATGTGTAGAAAGAAAATTTGAAGGGTGGTTTCTAAGTCATTTTTTTCTATAAAAGTTTTTTATAGCTCTTCTAAAAGTATACAATAATGGTGTTTTAGTAGAGATAATAACATGTTTTTTCTAGAATTATTTTCTTTTTTTAGTGAATTCAAAATGATAAACATTATAGAAAGTTATCTTTCTCAGAGGAAGCCAATGAAATTTTGGAAATTGATTGACATTAAAAAAAATTCTATATTGGCTGTGTTTTCGATGTTTAACTTTTATGAGTTGCTTGAAATGATCTGATATTTATAAAAAGTATTTGGGAAAGTAAGGGCTGAAGAACTTCCATAGCAAGAGATATAGTTATAGATTTAATTGTTAAGTTAACAATGGAATGACTAATCTTTATCTAAATCCTGCTGCATGCCATTTTATAGATATTAAAACAGATTCAGACAAGTTTGGTAACTTGCCCAAAGTCAGCTAACAAAAGCTGAGATTCAATTCTAGGACTTCGAGATTTTTCAACTGCAGTAATCCTGTATGTCTAAAGTTCTATTTAAGTATTTAAGAGCTTAGTGGAAAATATAGATTGATCAATATCACCAAAATAGTATCTTAAATAATTTAAGAGTTGTTCAGTAGTGGTAATGGTATAAGGATATTCTTAAAATGGCCACAAGAGGTCAGCACTTAGCTGTTATATGTAGTATAACAATGCTACTCTTGGAGTATTTTTTGCCCATTTGTATTCAGATGTTAAATATTACTGCAGTATATTGCAGATCTATTATAGTTAACAGATGAGACACATTTTAGTGGCTGTCATTATGTTAATGTGATACGTTTTCCTACTTTCTTTTGCTTTTCTCTTAAATCAGAGATACAACTTTTTATCAAAAAGAATAAAATTATACGGTTTATTTCTCCTATAAGGATGTTTAAAAATCTATATTTATACTTTATGTATTAGTGGACATTCATAACATGTTCAGTGAATTCTCCATTCTTAATTTCTGTTAAAATTTATGTATTAAATTACTGGTTTTTGAAAGATTTATGGAAAACTTTATTACTATAATACAACACAGTTATGAAGCTGCCTAATTGGTATTTTTATTGCTTCCATAAGATCAGGTGTTCCTTGAAGGTAGATACTATGTTTTACCCAGTTTTTAATCCCAGCTCCTATCATAGCATTTCTCCCATAGTAAGTACTTGCTGAATATTTGTTGACCAAATAGTTCATGAGGAGTATGAGTTCTAATTTCATTACTGTGAAGCTTTAGCACAGGCAAATTATTAAACTTTGAGCCTTAATTTCCACATCTATAAAAGGGATACAGTAAAAACAACCTCAGAGTCGCAAGGCACTCAAATAAATAATATGTATAAAGTTCCCACATCATAAATAATAGATATAGCTATTATCATACTTAGCAATGATCATTACTAATTGTTACTAATAATAATGGTAGTGAAGGTAGAACAGGTAGCTGGAGGTCTTACCAACTCTGGGACTATATTTCGTGTGGGAGTTTTTCTTCATTTTTCTGCTGTGCCAGCATAAATGCATGAGTGAGATTATACAGTTTGGATTGTGAAGTTATAGTATGGGTATCATAAACCATCGTTTTTCCCTATTTTGTGACTAAGGAACTCAAATCAGAAGTTGCAAGTGAGAGCAGGCCATGTCCACACATGGTGTTTCTGGGCTCGGTGCACAAGACACTGCTACTGAGCTTCCTGAGGTACCAGAAAACCAGTGCCAAGTTGTTTCTTACAAGGGTATGTATGTGTGTGTGTATGTGTGTGCACGTGCACATGCATGTGTGTGTGTGAGAGAGAGAGAGAGAGAGGAGTCAGTGTCCATCAGTGAACATCCGATCCCTGTCGTTGTTTCCCCCAGCATTTAAAAGAATCAACTAATTATCTGCACTGTCAGTTGCCACTTTAGAATGGTCCATAGATTTTCTTGTGTCTTTGTTCTGTGTGTATCTTACCTCTTCATCAACTAGGTTATATCTCACCCATATGTCAGCATAAATTTAGATAATTGTCTCAATAAATGCTACCTGTAGGGCCTATGAGAAGTATTTAAAATGGTAGACTAAGCAAAATTCTGAACTTAGGTCCTACCTTTAAGTTTTGATGACTCTTTTTTCACATCCTGGCTATAGCACCAGAGTTCTGTGCTTCACTTTCCCCAGTACATGCTAATTGTGCCAGTGCAAAAATTATTTCATTGTAACAGAGAGTCCCCTTTGCCTACCCGTATACCAGCGTTTAGTATGAGCGAGACACTGGACTAGTTCCTATGGGCATAAAAGACTGATCCAGTGAGATCCAGGGAGAGTTTATTCTCTA